GCACAAAGGATTCCAGGAGAAGGCTCTAAAGGCCAGTGTCCCCGCTGCCTTTGTCACCTCAGGTGGGCTGCCTCCACCCTGCCTAGCCTCCAGGACCTGGCCCCTGGCCAGCTGGACGTGCGGGGCATTAGAGAAGAGTGTGGAGCCACTGGTGGGCTGGATGCAGAACCTGGAGAGGCCCAGGTGGGAGAGGAGGACGCAGGGGAGGAGGACAATGTGAGGAGCAGGGGGACATCCCCCAGGGTGGGTGGGAGCAGGAGCAGGGGACACAGGGGGGGAGGAAGATAAGGGTGACAGGGGCTGTGCCAAGAGAGCTGCTCCAGAAGGGGACTAGGGGGTCCCTGCAGAAGACAGGAAATGGGGTGGCAGCGTGAGCCCCAGGCGAAGGGCTGGGGGCAGGAAGCCCCCAGGGACTGGGGGTGGGGACACTTGACAGTGGGAACTTCTCCTGGCTCTCTCTTCTGGCTCCAGAGCTCCACTTTCTCCTTCTCCCCAGCCTCACTCGGCCTCCCTGGACACTGTCCCCACCCTTATCTGCCACTGTGACCCTCAAACCTGCCATCCCAGTGCCCAGCTGGCCCCGCCTCTCCTCTCTTCCCGGGCTCATCCTCCCGACCCCACCTAGACCACAGGCCATTCTTCTTGAGTAGCCCCTCCTGCCTGTACTCTGCACCTCCACCTCATACCCTAGCCCATCCCTTTCCTGCTTGATCCCCAGATCTCAGACCCCTCCCTTAGATAGCTGTGGGCCAGGGTGGGACCAGCCCACAGTTGCCCCCTTTAACTTCCCTTTTGGTAAAACTTACATAATAAGTTGTCACACTTCTGTTTTCTTGTTTTAAAGAACACTCCAAGAGTACTAGTAAAACAGAAAAGTAGTAGTTATCGCTAACAGGAAGCAGTCAGTACATGCAGTGGAACCATAGTAAGGTCACTGGTTTACTTTAAATTACTTTTAAAGTGTTCTTTGTTACTGCTGCCCTGGATGAGTAAATAACAGATAAACTGCTTAAAAAAAAAAAAAAAAAAAACAAAACAAAAAAAACCCTGGCACAAAAGACCTGAGAGTAGCAAGCAGAGATAAAAGGAGCTAGGGAGTTGGTTGGGGAAATGCATCAAAAAAGAAGGATTAACAACTCTTGACAGGGTCCACCTAGGCCAGGGCCAAGCCAGGAGTCATGGCCACAGATGCCTCCACAGTCTTGGAAGGGAGGCAGGTTTCCTTAGTAACATGCACTAAGGTAAATTCTGACTAGCCTGGCCCCAAAACCAAAGGAGGGTGATTTGTAGATAAAATGCCCTGAACAGGACGGCCACCATGGCAGTTCTGAAAAGGGCCAATTAGGGTCAAAACCTGGGCCCTGGACATGAAGGAGGAGCTTCGCACCTGACTGTCCTGGCTCTCAGCAGTGCTCTCTGCCTGAGCCTCACTCTGCTCTTACTTACTTTCACCTCACACTTATACTAAAGTGCTCTCTTTTCTTAATATTTATTTTTAGGTGGACACAACATCTTCATTTTATTTTTATGTGGTGCTGAGGATCGAACCTAGTGCCACGCGCATGCCAGGCGAGCGCGCTACCACTTGAGCCACATCCCCAGCTAAAGTGCTCGTCTGACTTTTGGTGTCCGACTTTAAATTGTCTTTTGTGGGAACACAAGCAAAATATAAAACATTAACAGTTTTTGTCTTGTTTTAATAAAAAAGAGAGCTATAGGGCAGATGAGGTGGAATATGCCTACAATTCCAAGTACTTGTGAGGCCAAGACAGGAGGACTGCAATCGCAAGGCCAGCCTGGGCAAATTAGTGAGGTCTTGTCTCAATTCAAAATTTTAAAAAGTGCTGGGGATGCAGCTTAGCGGAAGTATGTTCTTGGCTTCAATCCCAAGAACCATACAAAAATTTACTTGTTTTCAAAGTTACACAAAAAGACATGTTAAAAAATGTACAAACTGGATAACATTAAAATAAAATTTTCATCATCAAATGATACCATTAAATGGTACAAAGGAAGTGACAGCAGGAGAATTTAATTACTTCACATATAACTAAACTTTTAATAAGAAAGGAAAAGATAAAGACCCCAAACCAAGGCAGGCAAGAGACTGCATAGCCACCTTATATGAAATATCTGTGTTCAATAATCATAAAAAGCTCAACATCTTTAGACATTAAAGATATAAAAATAAAATTAGATAAAATTAATCACTGATTTGGAACAAATAAATTCTCATTAACTGCAGACAGAGTGGAATGAAGACACATGACGCTCCCCCCAGTAGCAGACTTGCAGGAACGACTGCAAAGTGAACCATGATGATCATGTGTAAGGATACAGCGGTATAGATCCCAACACCTAAAATCCAGGATGGGGAAAGAGAACTCACACGAAAGAAGAGGTAAATAATACAGTGTGGGAAAAATGGTCCGGTTCAACAAATATATAAAACACCACTAAGTATTATATAGATGCCACGTTCATGTGAGACCTCACATACATACATCTTTTAAAAGGAAATATGTAGAATACTCATCAGAAATAAAAATTTCTGGGAGTACTTGAAAGACTAAATTATATACACCATGTGTAGATAAAACTCATCACTAAAAAATAATAATTTTACCCAAATTAATCTATAGTATAAAAAATTTTAATATGCTGGGCTGGGGTTGTGGCTCAGTGGTAGAGCACTTGCTTAGCACGCATGAGGCACTGGGTTTGATGCTCAGCACCACATAAAAATAGATAAAGGCATTGTGTCCATCTACAACTAAAAAAAAAAATTTAAAAAAATAAATTTCAACATGCTTATCTTTTAATGAAAAAGGGTTTAAAGCAGGTTTTCCGGGGGCTGGGGATGTGGCTCAAGCGGTAGCGCGCTCGCCTAGCATGCGTGCGGCCTGGGTTCGATCCTCAGCAGCACATACAAACGAAGATGTTGTGTCCGCCGAGAACTGAAAAATAAATGTTAAAATTCTCTCTCTGTCCCCCTCTCTCTCACTCTCTCTTTAAAAAAAAAAAAAAAAAAAGCAGGTTTTCCTAAAATTCTCCTGGTGGTAAAGCATACTGATTTATAACAGCAAATGAAGTAGTTTTCAGTACCTAAATTATATACACTATATATATTAATTATATACATAATGTGTAAATTATAGGCACTAATTTATAAATTATAGGCACTAATGTATAATATAAAACCATAATATTGCAATAATAAAGACCAAGGAACCATAATACAAACAAAATCCATAATTAAATCCACATATACACAAACATTTTTGTATTGTTAGGTCCAACTATATATATGAAGAACGACATTAGATGTAAATGGATGAAATTACCAAATGTACAAGTAGGTTGAGCCAGGCAAACAGTTCACCGTGCATGTGCAGAATTGAAAGGTCCTAGGCTTAAATACCAGAAGCACAAATAAGAGCCTTTTTTTTTTTTTTTTTTTTTTGGTAGCAAGGATTTAACTCAGGAGCACTTGACCACTGAACCACATCCCCAGCCCTATTTTGTATTTTATTTAGAGACAGGGTCTCACTGAGTTGCTTAGCACCTCACTTTTGCTGAGGCTGACTTGGAACTCTCATCCTCCTGAGCCGGCGCTAGGCATAAAAGGCTTTTTTCTAACGGGGATTATTTTTGGAAAAAGAATATGAGACACCTGATTTTCCCTCCATCTATGGCTACACTGAATAGATGCTCATGTTTGGGTCCCTTTAAGACAGTCACAAATGAGTTTAAAGAATTAGATCCATTGAACAACTGAGAAAATATATACTTTCAAATGAGTAGGAAAATCTGGGGTACACTGGCCATGGTCCTACACTGCAAAATGTCCCATTTCATTGGTATAGAATGGGAGCCTAAGACCATACATACCCTAAGTCAAGTTTCCTGTGGTTTGCATTTTAATTTATAGGGCTGGGAGAACAAGTATCTGCTTAAGTATCAAAAAGTGGTAATTTTCTATGGTCATGCAAGCACTTCCCGGGGTTCATCACCTGGGTTCAGGGCAGAAGCCTTCAAACCCAACCGCATAAGCTTTCCCTTGGAAGATACCTGTCAGCAAGTTCTGCCAAATGCTGTGGCTGACACGCTGAATTTCTATCTTACTTCAGAGATTTAATAGGAAAAATACAGCATAAACCACTGACAGCCTGAGAGTTCAGCATTTACCTCCCAAACCTCCAACCTCCAACCAAAGCAGCTGAGAGCACATCCAAATCTCCAGACTGGAAACATGGATTTATTGTTTTGCAAGAGCTTCCATGAGCTATCATCCCCAGCAGTGACGCAGAAAAGGTGTTAGAAATCATAGATCCCTCTAGATTGCTCTTTCAGTGACTTCCTGGCAGCTCTCATTTTAACAAATTTGTTTCAGGAACTCAATGCACAAGTCAGATAGCAGACCTCCTGCAGCCTGAGTACAGATGCTAGAATGGCTAGTACAAAAAAAAAAAAAATTTTTTTTGAAAGATAACCAACACACCAGCGTATACAGACATAGATAAAAGGAAACCCTTATACAACCGCTGGTGAGAACATACAGTACAGCTGTTTTTGGAAACCGTATGAACGTATTTCAAAAAATTAAAAATAGGCCGTGCGCGGTGGTGCACGCCCATAAACCCCGCGGCTCGGGAGGCTGGGGAAGGAGGACCGCGAGTTGAAGGCCATCTCAGCAATTGAGCGAACCCTAAGAAATTTAGCAAGACCCAGTCTCTGAATAAAACGTAAAAAGGACTGGGACGTGGCTCGGTGGCACCGCGCCCTGGGTTCAATCACGCACGGAAACACCGGGGCCAGCGGCCCTCGCGGGGAGGCCGCGGTCCCCACCCGCAGCCGCCTCGCGGTGGGGGCGGAGGCTGAGCCTCCGCACAGGGCTCTGGCTGTGGGTTCCGGGGACGCCGCGGCCGGCCATTTCCAGCGCCCACCGCCGCCCGCCCAGGCGAACCGCCGCGCTGTCCGCGGACGCCCCTCGCACACACCATTTCCCGGCCGCAGGGTGCCCGGCCTTCCGCCGCGGAGCTCCGGCGCCTGGCAGCAGAGGAACTCGGGCCTCCCGAGGACTGGTGGCAGCCCCGCCGCTCACCGGACGAATGGCGAGGTCCCGAGACAAAGGCGCCCCCCCAGGCGAGGCCCGCCCTTTCCGCACGGTGCGGGCTCCGGATTGGGCAAGTCTCGCCCGCTCGCCTCTGATTGGACAGCGCCTCCGACCCCGACCCTGACCCGGAGCCTAGGGAGCCTGCGGGCTGAGTGACAGCGCGGGCGTCCAACCCCGGAAAGACCGGGCGGAAGGCGGCCTGGCGGTCCGGCTCCGCGCGCCCGCGCTATTAGGGCAGAGCTGGGGTTAGACGCGGGTGCGCCTAACCGTAGGCCGCCGCCCACGCCTTTCCTTTCCTCACTCCCAGACAAGCGCTCACTAACGGCGCGGCTGCTGGACTCACAGGCCCGCCGCCCACGGCGCTGTTCTGAGTTGCTGGGAATGGAACAAAGGCTCGGGGACAGCCTTTCCAAGGCGGGGCCTCCCTGCAGCAGGGGGCTGTCTGCAGCAGGGGGCTCCAAGCCGGGAAGACTCGTATTTTATGACGTATATAGTCGCATCAATTCATGGAATAAGTGCATGTATTATTATCCAGGGATGGAAATCATATAACGACAATCACTTTGCATTTTTATGTGACTTTTCTGCTCTCTGGTCTTGGGAGGAGGCAGCGTGCACCTTGAACTGGGAAGCAAACCCCTAAAGCAGCGATTACCCGCACAAATAAAATGTGGGCACACGCGTGATTCTAGGTTTTCTATTACATGAAAGAAAAAAATCAAAAATAACAGGCCAAGGCCACTTTAACAGGACGTCCTCTTCAGGGCGTCGTCGTTATGTGGACAGCATGAAATTCCTGATGAGGTTGGCGGGTGTGGAAGAGCATCCTCCACGGCAGCCACCGCTTCGGCGGGGGGCAGCGCCTCCCGCGACTCCGGCCGGTGGAGTTCCCGGACGCCTCCGTTTTGTGCCAGAGGCGACGAAATACACTCCCTTGCCAATATTTTTCCTCGGTGCCAGGGAATAGCAGAGACACTGCCCTGGGAGCGAACCGGGACCTCCCAACGGGAAGTGTCCCAGAGCAGACCGCTGTTTCCCACCTGGCGCTGGGCAAGGTCCTCTCCCATTTCAGATGTCATACAGCAAAGAAAGGAAGATGGGTGTCCCAGGAGATGGGGGCCCATGTCTTCAGATCTTTCAGCAGTTTAGACGCTAGCGTTTAAACAGATTAAAGGAAATTTTATTTTTGCAATTTTCTTTGATCTTAATGGCAGGACTGGGATGTCTGTTTATATGCATATATGTCTACACGTATTGCGGTATTCAATACCCTATCAAAAGACCTAACTTTAAATTAGGAGAAAAGAAGAATCAATGCCTATAACACATGTGCTATTTTCCAGATAACTTCTGCATCACATGTGACACAATTTTGTTTATAAAGGGTGTCTTAGTTATTTATCACTGGATTATAAGCCTCTCAAAAACATCAGCTCATGATTGCACTGATCATTTTAGGCTGGGCTCAGCTGGGCGTCTTTCAGCTGCATGTGGTTAGCTGATAGTTGATAAGATTTCAAAACTTCAGAGGGTAAGCTGACTGTCAACTGGAGCACCTTGATCCTCCTCCCAGTGAGAGCTCCTTCTCCAGCAGGCTGAGATGGACTTGTTCTCTTGGAAATGGCAGGGTTCTGAAAGCAAAAACACAAGTATTCAATATCTTTTGAGGCTAAGTACCCCACTAAGACTTTCACAATCACAGCTTTATATGAACCATAGCAGAACAGTTATATAAACTTCATCTATAAGAAAAGAAAAAATGACAATGAGTGACAAAACATCTGCAGTTCTTTCGTTTTATCTGTACCCATAACCCTGACAATGTGATTTTACTCCCTTTCCTGTCAAAATACAGATAGTTTCCCAAGACTTGTGGTTCTGCATAATTGAAGGGGCCTTGATCTTTTTACTGCCAAAAGCAGCGGACTTTTTCTGTACCTACAGGAGAAATGCTATTTTTATGTCAATCAATCTGGAATAGTAAAGGAGGATAAAACAACTCCGACAGGACCTTGAACATCAGAAACAACCGCTCTCCTCTACAGAAGGATGGAGTGGGCACTTCCTTCCCTGACCCCTCTCCTTGTCACAGGTCTTTTGTTAATGCTTGCCCCCTGCGTCATTAGATTGGTTCAAGACTAGATCCAAAAAAGTCTCTAATCAAACTATAAACCAGCTTTTGTTACAGGAATATCAATCCCTCACCAAAATTGGGGCACTGGGGACAGCATTTCACCACCACTCTGTAGAGAATCAGATGTGACTGTGTTACTATTACTGTCCTTGATGGAGTCTGCCTGCAAACGGGATATTCTGTCAAGGTATAGATAGGTTGCCGCAGTCTAGCTGGGCACAAAAATCATGAGTCACTCACACCTTGTAGATTCAAACAGCAACTCTTTATTCTCAACTGTCACCGGCACTCTATACACAGGTTCTGGGGAAAATTCACGTTCTGGCCGCCAAATTCACGTTCTCCACCAGGCTCTAATCAGCAGGATACGCCCTATTCCCAGCAGGGTACACCTTAAACCTGGAACCGCCCTAAACCCCAGGACGGGATACTCCCTAAAACCTGATCCGCCCTAATCCAGTAGGATCCTCCTTAAACCCGGATCCACCCTGGTCCTTGAGCAGGATCACCTTTCTCAAACATACATGCAATGTCACTGCAAAATGTCCAATGCAAGTCCATTTCCACGAGTCCTTCCTCTAAGCAACATGGGGTACGCCGGCAAGGAAATTTCGATGCTTCATTCCTACTTGGCAATGGCTCTCAGCAATAGGTAACAGCAGACATGCTTGAAAACGAGGTGTCTGCTGTCCTTGGGAGGGCCTGTTCGCAAAAGAGAGGCTCCTTCAAGGTTTAGGATAAGGTAACAGAGGACATGCTTGAAAACAAGGTGTCTGTGGTCCTTGGGAGGACTTGCCTGCAAACGGGATGTTCTGCCAAGTAGGCTAGGATGGCGCTGAGAAAAATTTTATTATCTGTTCTTAACAAGAACAGAGCTTGGCATGCTCCAGGCCGAGAATAGATTAGCCACGAGAAGCGGGTCACTTCTGATTAGAAAGTAAAACTTCTGTGTGCTAAGTTTAATTAGCTGAAAGACCTGATTCATTGATGTTGGAAGGCTGCCTTCTTTGTTCACAATACTATAAAAAGATTGCTTGTACACAATAAAGGACTTTGTTTCTGCTGCTGCTTTGCTTGCTCTGCTTCTTCTTTTCCCATGCTGACCTGCAAGTGAATTACTGCAACATTTGGCGTAGTCGGCAGGATCCAGCACCGAAAGGGTAAGCACCCCAGGTTAAGAAAACGAAAGGGGGACTTT